GGTACTGAGTGTGTTCCTAAACCCTGTCTCTCAAAAGTTATACGGTAGGTATTATTTGAAGTATCCACCGCATCTATACTGCCTGTATACAACCCATCTGAAGGTTTACGGAGCCTAGAAGTAAAAAAACAAATACTTCTTCAAACATCTTCAAAAATATACATATATATTACCTTGCTGTTACTTTACTGCCAATAACCAATTGCATTGGAATTTCAGGGGGCAGATCTTTAAAACTAGCAAGATCTGTTGCTTTGCGCTGTTGCAGAGCTCTAATCTTCTTACGTTTCTTTTCCAATTCCAAACGTTCTTCATTAAAGAAGGACTGAGAACACCTTCTTGGTTTGCCCATCATTCGACGAATTTTTGTCCATTCTGCCCTAGTTAAGTCTCTAGTTTTTAGCTCTGGAAATGATTCTTTCAAGCAAATTTGAAAATCATTTTCCCCAGAAAACAAGCACCTATCGATGTTACTATAAAACCACTCGTAACACACCCACTTGTGGGCCTTGGGCAGCTTCAGCAGATTCCTCAGACGTAAACCTATTTTTTGACCAATTTTTCTGTCAGGAGAATTGAGTCTGGGAGGAGTAATCACAGTATGTGCCTTTTTTGGACTAGTTTTAGGAGTTTCCGACTTAACTTTAGGTGTGTGTTTTCTTGGTGTGGACTTTTGTTTTTTGGCACTAGGCACTCTATGATGTGGTGTATTAACAATATCATCATCATAGAACAATCGATTCTTTTTTCTTATCCTAGCAGGCATTCCTCGCGCATTTAATACCTGAGTAGGCTGTGAGGGTGAAGGTTTTGGTGGAGGCTGAGTTCCTACTCTTTGTAATCCCAATGCAGCTGGCCCCAAAGTATTGGGGTCATCTATCATGTCTTCGTCTTCATCAACGACCTCTTCTTTCACTCTGACCTGATTTTCGTTGGTCATTTTTTCGATTTTGGGCATAGGCTACTTTGACCTGGATCCAAGTAAAATTGTAAGAGTAACCTAAAATATTAAGGCATTTAAACAGCATTGCCATTACAACACAATATTTCATGCCTAAATTTATCTAAAATAATGAGTTATGAAAAATTTCAACCCAAAATTTAAAACAAAAATTTGAATTTGGCATTTCACCATATTCAAATTTAAATACTGGCAGCAAATGAAAACAAACTCAAAAATATTCAAAATCTAGCCAGAGATCTTCTGAGAACAGTACATAAATGTAATACCAAAACACATTGCACAAACCGTTTCCAGTATAAGAAGCAAAATTTTCGCTATTTAGACGATTTTTAACTAACTTTAGTCAGAAATATTTGATTTTCGCCATGTTAACGTCGCTTCTGATGAATTGTGGGTAGTCAAGCGCACGCGCATCGCTAATTCGTCTAATTAAACTCCCAAGCTTCCAAAGTATATTCATTGGAATTTACAAAAAATAACAGAAGTTGCTTATTGTTAATCTGTTTGTAATTTTATTGTAGTTTTATATGCTTTTTACAAACGGATTTTATGGTGCATGATAATCCACTGAAAATTGAAAGTGGCGCCAGTGACCCTCACCCTGTCGCTTTTCGGTCCCTGATAAACATTGAACTTTTATTATCTTGCATTGAGCGATTCTGTTGCCCAACAACAAATGACAATATTCACAGGTCCTTTAAAATTATGTTGTGTTAATAGTTTTACAATATAAAAACATTTTTAACGACCATGTTGGCGCAACTGTTATGTCATAGATGATAGAAAGAAAACATAATTATGACCATCGGTATGGACCACAGAAAAATTGGCAATTATTTTGAATACACCATCCATAGATGTGTACAATACACATGTGACGTAACTATTTCCTTTTTGGTGGCAAATATTCGTTATGTGGCTTGAATACTTGAATACTTTTTCTTCCTTTTGTTTTTATTTTATTTTATATTTGTTTAGTAAGGGTTCTCTTGTAGTACTAAGTATAAGTATTTATAGTATAAATCTGTAAAATGTATGTATAATGTATTACGGAAAGGTGTATAGTAGATAGATTTACCGAGTACGGTTAATGTTGAGTAACTAACTTAGTCAGCTAGACTTCGCCCTTTGAGAATATAGCACTACATCCTGTACATCATGTACAAATATTTCTGATGTATCTTAATTCTCAATAAAGACTATTATTCTAATATTATTATTATTATTACAAATTCCATAGAATTTTCAATTAGTTAATCAAGTCATTGCATTCTTCTTCTTTCTGAGCTTAATATTGCTTTCGCATGTATAAAATTACTGGTTTCGTTTTTTTTTTAAATTAAGACGTTGTTTGACTTGAAAATATGATTTTCGCCATTTGCACTAGTTAATGGTAAAAAATACTTGGCTTAAAGGTCTACGTCTTATATAATACTTTAAATATTATCATTTGCCTGTACTTCAATTATTATCTAAAGTAAAGTATTAAAAATATAAATCGCTTTTGCGTGAAAATGTCCCGCACCTCTTATACCTAAAATAATCAGTTGCATACCTTCTCTACATTAGTCAGACATGTTCTTAAGCTTTAGTGAAAGTTATTACACTCTGCACGGGAGCCAAGAAATGCGTCTCCTTGGATATAGTCGACAATTTTTTTCCAATCATGAACGTTATTAGTTTTATTAATCTATTTTTATTGCATTCTATATATTTTTTTGAAATTTGCAATGGTAAGTACGGCTTTAAAATTAATACGATTCTAAAGTTTAATTTAATGCAGTACCGTTAAAGTCTTTTCCGGGTCATAAGTGTTTATAATAATAACAGTAAGCTGTCACCAAATACTCGTTAAACAGTAAGGTAATTCAGTAATATTTTGTGAACAAAACAATTTTCTCAGCATTATTTTCAAGTGCTTTGCGTACTTAGGCCTTCAAAGGTGTTTCACCTGTCGATCCAGAGGCGAACTAGGCAGTTGCAAGGATCCCTTCGTGCACAATGTGACTTTAGTAGAAAACAAACAAGAAATCGGGGTGGAAACAGTGCCCTGTGCATCAGGATGGTGTGGGAAAATCGTGGAAAGCGAAAATGCCTTGAAAGAAGGTGCGTGTTATCGATAATTAATATAATTTGCAGTTTGCACAAACCGTTTTTCGTTGTACATAAGTTAAGATTTGTTGAGAATGCTTAAAAACTATTACATCATTTCAGTCGTTTTCTTTTCAACAATATCTATCTACACACCACGACACCTACAAGATATTTGCTTTCAGAATATTACCTGGTAGCTGGATTTCTCAAATATAATTTGACACACTATACATATTCTTAAAAAAACATATTTTTTATATTAGAAAATATGTGTTTTTATGAATCTTAGATTTCGCGTTATCTATTTCTTTCAGTTTTTTAATTATATACTTTTTTTAAAAGGCTTTGCAATTTTCACATTTAGTATAAAGTATTTTTAAAAAATGTTATACTTTACTTGATACATATAGATTTTTTTAAAGTTTTTTATTAATATAACTCATCACGTAAATCAAATGTTTAAAAATAAACGCCGAATGGGTGATTTTCTATTTTATTTGATATAGTTAGCATATTCCTGGATTACTATGGATTCCATTAAAAAAAATTAAGTAATAGTGCCAATGGTAGGTATAATAAAATTTGATGCAACATCCTAATTACTAATTACACAAAAGATTTTCCTTTGCGCTGTTTTTCTGCTCTTTTAATAATAACGAAGATACGAAGACTTAAAGTGGATTTTTTTAAAACTGTGAAGCGCCCATGAAAACACGCTCGCAAAACCACAAAACTTGGCAACGCTAAACAACTAACTAAGCAAAACTCACCGTATAAATAAATAGTGCAAGTTTAGTGCAAATGTAATCATTTTCAGAGTATGGAGTTGCAACCCAAAGAATTTGCCTGCAGAGGGGTCCTTCAGATAGCGAAGATAGGTGCGCTTATACAAAATGGAACTACAAACGGGTATTGATGTGTTTTTGTAAAGGAGATTTGTGTAATGGCAGTTCTAAATTTTATCTAAACTTTTTTTTCCCTCCAGCTGTAGTATTTTTAGTGAAAGTGTTCTACTAAAAGTTTTGTGACCAAATACATTAAACTGCCTGTGGTTAAATGCTTTTTGACTGCAAAACCTATAGAATTAAAAAATAAACGTCATTTTGAAACACGATTTTAATTAATAACAACCCCGCACTTTAACATCTAAAATTTCTTTTTATTTTCTTAATTAGGGTATATTTTGACAAAATCCTGATCAAAATATTCCACATCCAAATAGATAAGGTGCTATGTTTTGTTTAAAATAACAAACCTTAACGGTTGAAAACGAGATTTGAAATGACTGGGTCTGAGCAGATTACCCTTTGCAACTTTTTAATGGTTGTTTTAAAAGTTCCTGTTTTGTGAGCATTGATGTAATGTTCTTGGGAGGGAGATGTTTGTTTTGATAAAATATAAAACCTATAAAAATGTGCTGTCCCGTCTTCTTGACCTCTAACTGTTAAATGTCTAAGTTACAATAGTCAATAGACCACAGTCAATAATAGTCACTTTTGAGGCAAACATAATGAGATACATTCACTTCCAACAATCAATAATACTTTACCACATTCCACAATCATCATGGATGCCCACATATCATCAATTCGGCAGTTTTCCACTTCCATTTTTCGACAGTATTGTGTCAAAAAATGCCCATTAACACCAACTAACAGTGCAAAGATCCTGTTTAGAAAAGAGTACAAAAGTTAGGGTGTTAAATTAAGGGACATGCGCGGAAGATCATTCCCTTCTTTACGATAATGTCGTAGCCGTCTGAGGCATATAAGTTTAACAGTTTATAGTTGATATGGTGAGTACTACGAGGATTATATAGGCATAGAATAACACTAACACCATCCTGTGTTAATTGGTTTGGCATCACACAAAAAGACATTTTTCCACGCAAGATTCCATTATGTTAGCGCATTATACTTTTCGAAATATATAGGCACAAGAATAGGATAAAATCAAATTATATTAACTTAAAATTATAATATTAATGTTAGTTATTTCTCGATAATTCGTTAAATAGACTTTCCATTGTCCAGATTTCGGGTTTGCTTTGCACATCTTTTTCTGGGTAAAGTTTGTTGGTCAAGAATGATAGGTCTATGTTTCCCAAATTACCAAAATTTATTTTATCGGTTTGTATGTTACCAAGCTGATTATCCAGTTCCTTGTAAGTTGATTTATCCACGGTTACCCTGGAAAATATTTTAGATTTAATGTTTATAATCTGCTTAAGCGATAAGGTCAAAACAAACTTTCTAAATTAAACTTACACGGGCTTGACATCAGGAAGATTTAAGGGGTCGTCTTGTAAATCCTCAATGTCTGGAATTTCGGGTATGTCATCGTCATCCCGTTTGGTTTCGCTTTGAAATCTTTCGCTAAAAGTTTAAGACTTTCCTGCCCTCTTAGTGGGTAAATACTTTTTTTTAATTGTAAACATTGCTTTAAAGAACCAAATCCGAACCATGTTCGATAATAATAATTATGTTACTTACAGTTCGATAATGTTTGCAGTGTTTCTGCTGGTCCTGAAATGCAAAAAATTAGGAATAGAAAACGGTCTTTCGGAAGTTTTTTTGTGTTTTTTTTTTATACGAACTTTGCCGATTTAACACCATCGTCTACCCAAACTCCCGTTGTTCTTGCCTGTATGGGTTTTTCGCGAGTTTCAGGGTTATTTTCAAAGTCGTTGACATTCAGAATTTCATCGTTATTATGCGATGGCGGAGTAATATTACTAGATCTTCTACCCAGCTTAGCAGCTGACTGTAACATTCCTAATGATTATTACTAATGGGCTTCTGTTATGTATTAAGTAAATAGTATTCCCATAAAAATACAAATTTTTATTTATTTATTTACTAGTAACTATGTTTGCAATTTTTTGCTTTTTTTAACTTTTCGTAAACTTATATTATTGTCATATATATATATATATATATATATATATATATATACAGTGTGTCCAAGATAAGGATGCACAGCATGGGGATCTCGGAAACTATAAGAGATACAGTGTCGGTTAAATTAGACAAATGTTGCGCATTTTGATACCGAACAAGATCCCGTTTTATAAATTTGAAAATTCCAAGCCGTTCCGGAAATATCCGAGAAAAACCGAAATATTGCGATTTCGTTTTTATTATTTTTTAAAGCTATTTGAAAAGATATGAAAAAACGGAAAACACTTTTCCATTGGCACTTTTTAATCTCTCCAAATTGACGTTAACAAATTTTCATTACAGCGTTTCGATTCCATGGAACCACCATCAACTTTGATTTTTCTTATGGGACGGAAAAAAAGTACACACAGTATTAGGTTGTGCTTTTCATTGCGAATTCAACGATGTACGATACAATACGGTTACTTATGTTTTTATCCAGAAAAATGGATTTTTAATACATTTCAGCATTTAAATGGAGTAGGCCATGACAAAATGACATCCAGTCAATTTCAATGACACATTAATGTTATTTGTCTTTGTTATCAGTCGATCATAAGTTTATTCCTTTAGTTATTGTTTTTGTATTTTTATTGTTGTTGTCTTTTTCTAATTTATTTTGTTCTACAATGGAGGGAGGTAATTTTACAAACGAAGAAAAATGTGATATGCTGTCTTGCTACATCTGATGCCAAAGAAATTGTGTGGAAGCCGAGCGTACGTATTCTAACAAATACCCAGAGCGGAGACAACCTGACAAGAGTATTTTTCGGCGTTTGTTATTTAATCTGAAAGAATATGGATCATTTAAGAAGCCTGCATTATCCCGACAAAAACCTTCCAATGAAGAAAACCAATACATTGTTCTACAATCTGTTATCGAAAATCCACAAATTTCTACCAGAGAAATTGAAGACCAGAATGGGGTAGCTAAATCTACAGCTCAGTTTATTTTAAGGAAAAATGAATTTAAGCCTTACAAATTCAGAATATGTCAAGGATTAAAACCGGGTGACGACGAACGATGTAGACATTTTTGTGAGTGGCATACCAGGATGTGTGATGAGAGTTTTAATTTTCCATATAAAGTGATTTGGTCTGATGAAAGTATGGTGACCAATAACGGTATTTATAACAGGCGCAATACACACTATTGGTCGCATCAAAATCCACGTGTTAATAGACTATCCAGACATCAAGTTCGCTTTGGGTTTAATATTTGGTGTGGGATTTTTGGTAGCAAGATTATAGGCCCTATTTTCTATAATAATTCCTTAACTTCCGAGCGGTACCTTGACATCTTGAGGCACGATGTAGAAGATGCCTTAGATGATTTACCGCTAGGCGCTGTGCAAGGCTGCTGGTTCCAACAAGATGGTGCCCCAGCCCATAACTCCAGAGAAGTTCGCCAATATTTAACTGAACGGTTCGATGGAAAATACATTGGGACTTACAGTGAAACACCTTGGCCTCCAAGGTCCCCGGACTTAACTCCCTTTGACTTTTTCTTATGGGGCTACATAAAAAATGAGGTATTCAAAGAATGTTTTGACAACGAGGAACAATTACGTCAATCAGTACGAGCAGCGTTTAATAAAATTACTCCTGAAATGTTAAGTCGTGTTTTGGAGTCTACCGTGAGACGGGCGTACTTATGCCTAGAAAATGGAGGTCATTTATTCGAACATTTGTTATAGAATTTGTTTTTCATTAACTTGTTGGATTTAGTTGTTATGTTAAATGAACAGTTAGAGTTAGTAAATAAATAAATACATTAACTCGAACTTGTCAACCATTTTCTTTTGCCTTTCATCGTTCGGATCTCATGGCCTACTATAATAAAATACTAGAAATGTATTAAAAAGCCATTTTTCTGGATAAATACATAAGTAACCGTATTGTATCGTACATCGTTGAATTCGCAATGAAAAGCACAACCTAATACTGTGTGTACTTTTTTTCCGTCCCATAAGAAAAATCAAAGTTGATGGTGGTTCCATGGAATCGAAACGCTGTAATGAAAATTTGTTAACGTCAATTTGGAGAGATTAAAAAGTGCCAATGGAAAAGTGTTTTCCGTTTTTTCATATCTTTTCAAATAGCTTTAAAAAATAATAAAAACGAAATCGCAATATTTCGGTTTTTCTCGGATATTTCCGGAACGGCTTGGAATTTTCAAATTTGTAAAACGGGATCTTGTTCGGTATCAAAATGCGCAACTTTTGTCTAATTTAACCGACACTGTATCTCTTATAGTTTCCGAGATCCCCATGCTGTGCATCCTTATCTTGGACACACTGTATATATATATATATATATATATATATATATATATATATATATATATATATATATATATATATATATATATATATATATATATATATATATATATATATATATATATATATATATATATATATATATATATATATATATATATACGTGTTTTAAAATTATTTGTGAGTTTTGTTCACTGTGGACCAAATCCTAAGAATCATCCTATAAAATATATATATATATATATATATATATATATATATATATATATATATATATATATATATATATATATATATATATACCATGTAACTTATTTGATTAATTGGTTGGAGAAATTTGTTAGTCCTTAATAAAAAAAAATCAACCGGGAGAGCAATCAATGAAGAACGATGCTGGTTAAAATTTTATTCCTACCTTTATAGTAGATCCAGTTCTACGTGCAATCCAAATCGGTTTTGGTGACCTCAGGTTTCACAAATCATATATGGTACAAATCATATCATCATAAACATGTAATACATTGATTGCTAATGTTTAAAGAATCTAATGTAAACAAAAAAATTTCTAGAAATGTTCAAATTGTGCATTATTTTATTTATAATTTATACACAGCAGCGCTTTACTATTATATATACTATATACTATATAGTACTATATATGAAACGTTATGGCGAAAATAAGCAAATTATCGCAAGAATGGTTAAAATTTGAAACTTAAATTCGAAATTTGGTAACCTTTCGTAGATTAATTTCGAATATTTGTTCAATACCTATGTTTAACGAAAAGTTTGACCAAGTATCCAAATAAGCTCGACACTATATATCGACTTAAACCAATAGCCTTCAAACTAAGAGGACAATTAAATGAATAGAACTGAAATAGCACAACTAAATAAAGTTTAATGAACTGCATTTAAACAATCTGCAGAACAATTCGACCACACAACTAAAATATTATAACCTATTCACTCGTTCATTACCTTTTTCCCAGCTAGAAGGTCAATGTCTTCATCCCAATTCATTTTTTTTAATACGTGAGTACAAAATCTTTTGAATTCTGAGAATTCAATTCAATTGTTTTACTATTATTTCTTGACAGTCAATTTTATTTACTTGTTTTCGGTGATGGAGTTGCCATGGTAACTAGTTTGTTGCGCGTAGCCACAGTACCAACAGTCGTCACCTCGGAGGGAATTTCAAATGAATGGGGATATCATAAAAGATAAAAAGGTGCAAATTGAAATGGAATGGAATTGAAATATCCGCTTTTGCTAATTTTTCAATGACGTTTACATATTTATTACCCTTATAATTTCAAAAATTTACTTACGTCCGTGAATTATTGTGAACTAACAGAAATGAATTAATTAACCAAAAACTTTAGGTAGTAAAAACACAAGATCTTTTGAAGCGTTACTTGGAAGCCGCTGGCAAATTCCTGTCTATTCTATTTGATAGACAGGTTTGGATCAATTTTCCAAGAATAAAAACTAATTAATTTTTTTGTATATAGGAATTGGTAATATATGGACGCCATTTGAATTTACTGAATAACTATCATGTAGACACTCTTCATAAAACTGACCTTCTAACCCGTTTCGAATTTTACTTTAGTAATGTAGAAATGTACTGCCAAAAACTGTTAATATTCAAAATAATCAATATAGAAATTATATAAAGGGTTTGTCTATTTACAACTAGAATGGTATGGCCACGACAATATTTTAATAGTATATTATACGACAAGTATGGTAAACGGCACATAAAAAGTTTACCAAACGTGTACACTTTTTTTACATTTTTGCAAAACAAAACTAACATGACCATCAGAATTCAAGCCGTGCGGTAAAATCTCCGAAAACATCCGATTGCTCTCAAACGCCTGCGGTCGCACAACCACAAATGCTATAACGTGCATTTGTTCAAATCACCCGAGGCACCGGCGACGAACACCCCAAAACGGCCGAAACATTTACCCAAATAAGGAGAGAGGTTTAGACGAAGATATACGGATACATTTTACCCTTATAACTATTTAGGTAACTTTTACTTTTTGATTCTTGGGTATGCTAGGTAGCTGGTTAATTTTTTTCATAATCCAAATTGTTTTAATTGACAACCATATCCTCAGAATCGTCGTAGCTGAAGTATTGGATAAAGATATTTCGTGATAATCGCCATATGCAATTTTCCGTATAAAAGGTACCTAAATACAATTTTACTATGACCGCAATGATTTATTTAAAATAATGGAGAACATTTGGACAAATGAGATGGCCGTATTTGTCCAAATGTTCATTTGTCCAATGTTTTTAAAGTACATCTGATAATATTTACAGTTACTCAGCTTAAAAGATTCAGTTGCATTTTAGTTAATCAAAGAGTCAAAACTATCATAAATGTGTTTGTTCTTAATTATTTTTAATAAATCATTGCGGTCATAGTAAAATTGTATTTAGGTACCTTTTGCTCGGAAAATTGAAAGTTAATAAAAATGTGTGCTCAAATGTTCTCACAGCTAAAATTATTCATGATTTAAATTTATTCAATAAGCAATTTATCCAATACTTCAGCTGCGACTGTTTTGAGAATATGGTTGTCAATTAAAACATTTTGGATTTGCAAAAAATTAATCAGCTACCTAGCATACCCAAGAATCAAAAAGGAAAAGTTACCTAAATGGTTATCATTATAAAAAGTATGAAAAAATAGAAATTGCATTAAAATTTTAGAAAAGAACAGCGCCCATTACTTAAAGAGGTCAAATTGTAAAATAAAAATTCCTTAGGTGCCAATGAAATACCTTCATCGTAGTATGTTTAATAGAAGTTGAAAGTTTTTTTAGCTTAAACAATAGCGTAAAATGTTGTTTTTTATATCATGTCCAATAACCTCTACTTTATTTTGTAAAATGTTAATTTTATTTTGTTTGTAAGTACACTGTATAGTGGAAACCACCGCTATAGATAATTAACCAAAGTAAAATAATTTAACCGCATTTTATAAAATTAATTTACTATCTGAGCCGTGTTTAGACTTGTATTTTAACCTCTCTCTTTATTTGGGGAAGATAAATGTTTCGGCCGCAAAGACGACTACCTTGAGAAGCCAGATTTATATTTACAATTTTCTTTATAATGAAGCACTCTTGATGAAGACAACTTGTAATTCATGCCTGGGAAGTTCTTGAGTGCGAAGAGCGGTCTTTGTCACACTTTGATGACCCCTGTTTTCTTAGTGAATATATCTTGTACTCAGTACGGATCTTTTGAGAGTGTGAATCCCAATTTATTTAAGACTCATTGTTTTTTCTTTTGTGCTAAAGTTGTGGTACTCGGGGCAGGAACTTCACTTTCTGTGACCTCCAACTGTCTATTTTTCGGTTTGCTCTAACCTGCATTGCCAATAATATTATTCCAATCCCAAAATAAGATAGAAATAAGCGAGAAAAACGTGTTTTTCCTGAACTTTGGTAGCGAGGCCAACATTTGTGACAAACCTTTAAATTATTCATTCACGCGCATGTACCGCAATGACCACGTTCTTGAATAAAATATAGGTATATGAATGACGTAATATTATTGTTATCGATACAACTTTATACTTAAGAATAGTAGGGTTTCAACATTTGGATTTGGTTAGTTAAAATAAGGAAACTTATTTATGAAAAGCTTTTCTATTATATTTAAATAATAATAAATCATAATTTTTATTATTTCAAAAATAGGAGAAAAAATAATTCACCTGTATTAAGTTAAATCTTTCAAATTAAATTAAATGAATTAAAGTCATCGTCAAGTAGTCTTAATTGGAATTTTAAAAAACAAATTTTCTCGACTCCCTACTCCTTCATAATATGTTGCATAATATTATATCATTAATAAGGAAAAGCTTTTTATAGTAGAATTTCGTTTTTTATAATATGTAGAGGAGCATGTATGTAAGTGTAAGTATTTCCGAACTTCATCATTTTAGCAAATTCGACCCTTTAGGATCATTTTCTTAGAATTTTACTTTCTTTATGTCGCGAGTCATTTTGGACGTTTGTGAGCAATGATATGTTTTTATATTTTGATGTTTGCCAATTCTAATGGTCACGTTAGACACACAACACAATAGATTCTGATATTTTGCAAAAATGTTCCGGGAAAATAATTATAAAAAAAGTAGTGTAATACAATGCAAGTTTGATAAACTTTATAGACACTCGTTTATTAAATACTCGCTCCTCTTGCCTAAACAAACTCGAGAATGGCTACATATAATTATTAATGATTTTATTACACTATTAGTTTGCAATTTAACTTATATTTATTAACAAAAGTTTAAAAAAATCTCTAGCTATTTCTATAACAAAAAAAAATTAAACAACTTTTTGAAACACCCTGTATGAAATATGGTCAAAATTGCTCTTAAAAAATAAGATTATTATAAATTACGACGGAAATGACTAAAAGTTTCTATCTCAAAAAATGATACTTATTTAGAAAATTCGATAATGTAGATGTTGCCAGTTTTCTTCCAACGGCAACACTGCGAAGTAAACTCGACAGCCTTTCTGTCCACCACTCTTGCAGTACGTATTTATATCACAAAATTGATATAACTAATATAAAATTCAAATAAACGGCAGTAGCTTTAGTCGATATGGTGCAAGGAAAGTACCGCCACATTTCAAACATTTATCTGCTCGACAGCTTTAAACAAGAAGTAACAGCGGCTGCAGGAACACCGACGATCGCAAGAACCGTCGCGTCTTAAACTATATCGCAGGCAAACATTGTTCAGTTCGGTCGCAGGGAAAGTGAGTGTCAGTGTCGAGGTAGAAATCGAAAGAAATGAAATTTTTGACTGTGTTTAGTGCGGTGTGTGTAATTTTTATCGCTGAAGGTAAAACTTCGAAATCCTTGTATTATCCCGAACCGATGACTCGTTACTTTCTTGCGTCAGCAGTTATTACTTGGTTTTGGTGCAAAAAGAGCATTTCCGGTATTGCGAAATGGAACGTATGTTTCTCTCTTGCGGTACCCAAGTTATACCAAATCAGTAGATAAACAACACTTTCTGCTTCCCATGTTTTGCTTTTATTTATTTATATAGAAACTACCTATTGCCCTGTCGTTTTTTAAGAAACAAACCCCATGTACAATTCAATAGACAAAAAACTACTGCCGCACAAACAAATTTTCATCTTGTATAATCTTTTGATTTTTGCCCAAATTTTTTCACACTTTTTAAGTTAAGAAAGGAAAACCCACCAGATTAATACATATCGTTTAGGTTTCCACAATTTATATACGAGGAAAATCAGAATAAAAATTCATCTCGATTCAAGCCCCATAGTTTTTGGATGTCGCTCAAAACTAACCTGCATGCAAATTATTGCAAAACTACTCAAAACTATCTACCCTTTTTTCTTGTTGTTGCAAGAGAGCCAAAAAAAATCATTAAACTCAAGATAAAGGAAATATTTGTTTGTTAGTTATAAGTAAAACGATGGATTTATCCGAAATGTTTTATTTCTTTATCCATGCAAATTACTGTTAACTTGAAACCTAATAGTCCCGTAGAAGTGAATAACAAAGTTCTCGTCAAAATGTTGTAGTAATTATTAATTAATTCATTTTAATTGGGTGCCAGTGAAGTAAGTATGTTTTTTTTGGAAATATACTTAGGCTTAGAATTTATATGTACGGCAGGTTTCTTACATATTTGGTTCTATAAAAGGATGTTTCGAGGTTTACTCTATTTACACATATGCAAAGATTTCTACTTATTTCGAACAAAAAGCACTTTAATCATCTTTATTTCAAACAATATTCAAACAATATTAGAAAGAGGTAGTATCTAAAAAATAAAATAATGTACATGTGGTTGCAGTTGAACTGGCAGCAGTTGATGTGTCAAAATGTTTTAGAGTTTTAATTGTTATTCCAATCACGAGTTAATCTTAATCTTAATAATAATAATTAAATGTATTCCACATATATAAGCACACATCTTAATAATAATAATAATTAAAAGTGTATAGCTCAATTTTTTTGTAACATGACAATGAGGTATATTTGTATATACTATAATAAATTTATAGCTTCGGTTATATTTCAACCATAGTGGCATTCGAAATTGTGGACATTATTCAGCATGGCTTGCAA